TCCTGTTTTAAGTGGTTAGTCAGCTCATAATTTGATCTGGTTTATAAATTGGAAACTAAGCTTATCATCTTTCCTCACTGCAACTCAGATACTCAGCTGCTGATAAATGCAGCACTGTTTGCAAGTGGCATTTTCATTTACTTGCTCCTCCTAGCAGTCAGCAGCAGCAGCTTGTTTAAAAAAAAAAAATGTATTGGAGAAAGGTTATTTGTATTTTCTCTCTCTGGATGCTTTTCCCCTTGGTTCATCCACAGTGGAATGCTAGATGCTCAAGCATTATTTCCACATTGAAGCTAATACAGAGGCCCCAATTTAGTTCAGTTAACTTCAAATATGAGAGGGAGGACTCAGTCTTGAAATACGCTAATGATTCAAGGTGAAGATTATAAAACATTAAAGATCTATGAAACAGCCTCCTCTGCTCTGTAAATACTGTAAATCCAGATTAAGGTTAAGACCATGTGACAGACTTCTCCTGCAGATCTGTACCTATGGGGCAATAGTCAGACACATAATCATAATTCCACCAACAAAACCCTTTTGGGTAGGACATGCCTTTGCTGAGAGCAGCACTTATGCTGTTGAGTTCCTCTGTGGAGGTGATAAGGCTGTGACAGCAGGAAAGTTTCTGCTGGGTATGTGCTAGAGGAGAGGTGGGGGTTAGTACAGACAAATTCACATCCCTTTCCTGCTGGTGTAATGTCTTTGGGTGCCAGAACATAGCCGAGTCAAACCCAGCTATGTTTAACACACCCCTAGTATCTGCTGGCATATCTTGCTCTCTCTTCCTTTTGAAGCCTTCCTTCAGAATAGCTACTGTGTTTCCATGTTTAATGTTCACAGTTAATGATGCCTTCTGTAATCAGTACTTCTGTCTTGTTCTGTGTTCTTCTGTTCATCTGCAAGCTCTGCAGCAGGCACAGTGAAAATGCAAAAGCAATTTTTCGCATTACAAACCTGGATGTTAATGTGATGCCATCGCGCTGTAGAGCAGGCATCTAAACAGTCAGCAGAAACTGCTGACTTCAACTGCTAAGTAGTGAAATAGTGGCATGGTAAGTCAGAAATACACTTTGATTCATTTTGGAAGAACATCCTGTGAAATGCATGCTCTTTAAGAGAGAAAGCATAGATGAAATTTTAAGTATGGGGAGGATGAACTCTGGCATAAATTTTTCTTTCAAGAAGCCAAGTACGGTGTCTTTGGGCAGGAAAAATGAGACTCCATCTGCTTTTCTTCCTGAGCATCTGTCTCTTAATTTGGAACAACTGTCTTTTGCAGGTTGAATGTACACTTGCCTTCGTTTGTCTGTTCTGTGGGCTGTTTGTATCAAAGACCGCATCATGTGGCTTTTAGCCCCTTAGCGTTGTCTCCTATGAGCTGTCTCAGTAGGAGCTGAGCAATAGGCACAGGGATATTTCCTTTCATAGGCTGTGTGTGGTGTTCTGCTGAAATCATGCCTTACTATGGTATGTTTATTAGCGAGTCTTGCTGAGTGTCACAGATACATGCTCTTAAACTGATAGCATTACATCACAATGGTTATGTCAGAATTAAAGGGAAATTCTTGTGTTCAGTTGCTTGAGTTCTTGTATTTTTATTGTAGATTGTACTACAAAAGACGCTTAATATGATCTACCCTAAACCACTACATACAAATTTATATGATGAGACTTTTCACTAGATAATGCTTATGTCTTTCCTATTGTTAAGACTCTGGGTATATGAGAATGAATTAATAGTGGGAGTAAAGTTTTATTTCTTGCAATTTCCTTGGTTGTAAAACCAGCCTGTAACAGGAACCTTTTATGTAAATGTACTGCCTAAATTTGCATAATATTCTAAAGCGGTAAGAATTAATGTTGGCTTTAACATGAAATAAGGACTTCTGAATAACTTTATTGGGTTATTCATTTAGGTAGAAGAGCTACTACAAAGTTTAGAAGATTATATTTAGAAGAAAGGAAATTTACATCAAAGGCTCTTGATGTATTACTGCTCAGTATAACTACATTTGAAATTTAACTGTGGAGAGCTCAATAATTCCATCGTTTCTCCCTGTAGAAAAAATTCAGTCTGTAAAGTAGTTCTAATAGCTGAATAGCTGTGTCTGGTGGTCTAACGTGATGATAGATCATCTGTACTGCTACTTTGCTTCTCCTGGCTTGCTAAGAATGTCACCTACCGTTCTGGCTGGAGGGAAAACCAAGGCAACTATGAAAAAGCCAGGAAATGCAGACATCTGTCTTCAAGATATAAATGTTCTGCCCTGTCCACCCCCAGCATTAGATGGTATTTGGTATTTTAAAACCTGTGCTGGTTTAGATGACTTGTACTGATTCCTATTCCCCTGCTGCATATTAATGTGCTGCTTTAGGACCAGACAAGGTACCAGTAGGGTGTAGTGTACTTATCCTTTTGTTACAGTTGCTCACTGTTGGGGAAGGGGGAAAGGGTTAATAATACTGACTGGATAAGGGATCTGACAGTAATTATTGCCCTCTGCTGTGGTGTCCTTCTAGTCACCAGTTACTGTTTTGTTTTCACAGAGGCCACAGCAGTTGGTGAGCCTGCTCCAGAAGAGTTCGATAATTCTACCTACAAGAACCTTCAGCATCACGAATACAACATTTATACTTTTTTTGATTCTATTGAGGTTCTCTCCAAATTCAGGCAACCTCAGCCATCTTCTGGAAGACCTTCACCAAGGCACTGAGAGAACAACATTTAAAACAAATGCCTAGGCAGAATGATAAATTGTTCTATTTAGCATTGTTGCTTCATCTGTATTATAAATCAGATAATGAATAATAAATGAATGCAGAATAACTTGTGCTTTTGAATATATCTTCTTGGTTCTCACAGTCCCTTTCTTCTTGCGTTTTATGAATGAGCTGTCAATAAATCATCACTGGATAAAAACAGCTTTGCTACCTCTCAGTACGTATTATTTGGTGATAGTGTAAAAGGCCTGACATTTCAGTGTCCCCAAGTGTTTGAAGCTGACCATTCTTTCAGTACAATGCCAAAGAACTTAATGGCCCTTGTGCATGTGCCTGTTCAGTATGTGCCATGGTTTTAATAAGTGTTGTTATCACTATAACACAGGCAGCTGTTCTCCTTGCACACAAATGTATTACCAGCTCTGAAGAGGTTATGTTTACTCTGGATTTGAATTTAAATCATTGGCTAGAAACAGTGTAAGGAGTACTGTCTCCAGTGGCAAGAGTGTATGTTTTGTGTTAGTGGAGGAATGTAACTTTCTGTAATGTTATTGAAACATCTCAAATGCTCTGCTGTTGTAAAGGGAGAGCATGCAACTTTATTTAATCTTCTGTTGGGGGTTCTAGCATCCAGGTTCTGCAGTAATTGAAATAACTTAAAATGTAGGAGAATCTCAATGAGCAATTCCTAATGAACTGTACTACATTGATTAAACTCTGAGAAATAATGACTTTTTAGGGTAGAATCACTTGAATGTTATTTTTAAATGTGACAAAAATAGCATTAGGTTAAAATCAGCTCCTGGTACTAATTGTTCAGTGGAACTATGTTTCAGTTCCCAGTGGTGGTTTTTTTCCCCACAATAAAAGTTAAGATTGCTGTCCAGCTTCACTCTTGCTCTGCAGAAAATGTGAGAAATGAGGCACTTCTCAATATGTGTTATCAGCAGTTACAGTTGGTCTCACTAAATTTTGTATTCCCATCCTATTAGTAACAGTCTTCTGCCCTCTGGGAAAACTGCCTTGATGACCTCCAGCTGTTGAGGGTTTAGTTCCATTTTGGCTTCTTGTTCATTTTGGGGGTTTTTGGAGTTAATTGGTCTTTGAGCAGTTGTACTTGCAATAGCTCCAGTGTTTTCCATCACCTGTCTGTATTCTTTCAAGCAACAGAATACACAAGATCAAAGGGAAAACTTATTCAGCCTTAGGAGTCTATCTGGATATTGGATGCAAATCCCTGGGTGCAATTAGTAGAACAGATATTTTATACTCTAACTTGGCAAAAATGTGGTAAGAAGGATCAAGAGGCCTACATCAACCTGCTGTGTAGGATTTTAAGTCAGAAACCCCTGGCAAGCAATTTTATTGTCCTGTAAAAACTAAAAAGCATATTACTGACTCAAACTATGAAATTTAAAAATCGGCAAATGTATAAATCCATGTGCTTAGCAATAAAGAACAGAAAGTCACTGTGAGACAGCAGTGGTACCACGTACACTGTACTTATAAAAGGGAAAGAAAATTGCTGTTAATATTAAACACATGAAAGAGTAAGGAAAAGGGTCTTCCTTTATTAAGGGCCCACCGGAGGCCCCAGTAAAGCTGCTGTGTTTTGTTATTAACTGGGACTCTGTGTAGTAACCTGAACCCTGTAGCTTAGATCTGTGTTGGTGCTGAACCATGTTCCTATTTGTTTTCTGATTACAGAAGGAGGCTGCAAATTGTCAGAATCTAAACAGTGAAAGTTAAATACAGTCCATTAATATGCTTATGTGTTTACTAAATCTGCCCACAGTAGCTGTGGCTGTGAGTTGTTTTGAGTCAGATTTACTCACCTAGCACCCTTTTTATTTCTAAGAAGGGTTGGTGTTATAAACACTGATTTGCTTAGCTAAGCAAGAGTGGGTTGAAACAAGAGTGTGTCTTGCTTTTACTCAACTCCTACACTTTTCTTAGCTAAGTTTCCAGCTAAGGAGATGCTAATCTGTATTCAGGCTAGGCATTTTGCTACCCTTTTTTCACCATTACAGCAAAAATTAATGGTGAATGCTCTTCCCATCTGTGTAATCCTGCCTCAATGTCTTCTGGTGTTCTTTTCTACACCTCTAAAATCAAGCTGGAAATCAAATAACTTCATGACTCTTGTACATACAGTGCATATCTTCTATTTGTTCTGTTCAGTGAACCAGTCTGCTCTGGGAAGGGCAGATAATGTGAGGAAGGGCACCAAGACTTTTTCCCACTGTTGCGTTTTCTTGGACTTCAATGAAAAAGGCTTCTTTCTTAATTTGCACTTGGCTATTATCAGATGTTGTTGTGTTTGAGTCACATGCTAATATTTAAGTTTCAAGCAGGATGTGATACAAGGTGCTCAAATTCTGTAACGTTAGTAACTTTGTCTTGCAGCAGTAGGCCCTTGTCCCATACAGTCAGGGACCACCTTGTTTTAAAGAATGTATAATCCAGGATATTCACATAATTCCTGGAAAACCTTGAATATGAAAGAAATTAAGTCTCAGCTTAGTTTCTGTGAAAACCAGAACCAGCATAAAATTCAGAAGTGGGGTTTTCAATGTAAATAGTGTAAATAGTGTGTTACTGGGAGAGTAGATAAGAATCTGGAAAGTGGAATTAGTAACGTCTCATTAAAAAATACGAAGCAACTACTTTTCTTGTCTTAGGGAGTGGTTTTCAAATTTTAGGTCCTTTGATTTATTTTGTTTCTAGTGTAGCCAATTTCTTATGAAATCACTTTTCATAGCTTATTTCCACATAGATCTTTCAAAAGTAATTTAGGAGCCCAGAAGGTTCTGGACAGCAGTTGAAAACCCACTAATCCAGGTTGCAGAAGGACAAATGGAAGCAAAGTTTGGTGGTCACTTGAGTCATTACAAGGTCAAAATGTGTTTTGGTCCTCTCCTTGGTGCTTCCTTTCATGCATCCAGTCATGATAAGCACTGCAATCTATAAGGCTACCTTCAAATTAATTTTAAATCTGGGAAAATAAGACTTTTAACTGGGGGCACTTACATACCTTGCACAGTATGTTCTCAATTTTCAACAATAAAAACACGTTCAGGGCATCTCTGGTTTCCTGGTTGCTATATGCACGTAAGATATAAATGAACATAAGCTATAAAAACCTCCCCTTAGCCTTTTCTCCCACCATAATAGATGCCATCATCTAAGCTACTTGTACAATTATGTTGAGCCTGCTACTAACATGTAACGAAAAAAGTGGTAAGCAGTTTTAAGGCTATCTCCATATGACAGACAGCTCTTCCTTCAGCTACTCATGTTAATGAGAACGTGAGCTGAGAACAGTCATCAGACTGCCCAAGATCTGTCTAAGAGGAGGGCTTCTCAGCTTTATGCCGATCAGAATCCTAGTGCTCATAAAGTGCTTTGGTGAGATCTTGTGATCTTGCAGAACTTGGGAGGAAGGGTAGTAAAAGCTAGTAGGAGCAGCCACTGTCTGTTCCAAACAGTTTGAATTCCTGATGGGTCCAGCCAATGACTTGTGCAGTGTGAGTGAGTAGAAAACATGCTTACAGTATCCTGTAGCATTATAACATTAGAATCATGCCAACTGAGTTTGGAAGGGAAGTCTTGAGATGATCAGTCCTCTGCTCTGTAGCACATGCAGTTAGATTGCGTTGTCCTGGACCTTGTCCAGTTGAGTTTTGATATCTTCAAGAATGGAGATCCTACAATCTCTCTGGTGACTTCTCAAGCACTTGAGCACCTTCATGATTTAAAAAAGAAACAGACAAAAAAAAACAGCAAGCAAAACCTTTCTCTGTTATCTAATCAGAATTTTTGGTTTTCTGACACTGATCTTACCATGCACCTCTGGCAAGCCTGGCTTTGTCTTCTCTATACTCTCCAAAGAGGTAGTTGAAGGTAGCAGTAAGGTCCCCTTTATTCTCTTCTTCAGACCAGATAACCTCTGTTCCTTCATGCTCATCTTGTGCAACATACTCCAGGCCCATTTTCATCTTTGTGTGTCACAGTGCACCCTTGGTTCATCCTACTGTGCTCTGTAGCAACACAGGTTGCTGAAGTGCCTCCGAGTGTCTTCCTCATGTAGCTTATACTTTAAGGTATAACATGCTAGAAAAGCACTTATGTTCATTTTACTGTGGAATCTTCCATAGTCTTTGGGATGGGACTTGGAAGATTCCTGTTCCTCAAGATGCTATGCAGCAACAGTAGTGTGGGGCAGGTTCAGGTCCCCACCGTCCTGCTGTAAAAACAAACAGAAAAATCTAGGAATTGTTCTTGACCAAAGTATTTGCTATCTGCTGTGATCTACAGCCCTCCTATGCTATTCTATATTGTATGCTGTTGTTTGCATACAGAGTTAGACAAAAGGAGCTAACACAATAAGGGTAATACAGGCACTTCACTACAGGTCCTTCAAACATTTGAGTGATTAACTTTGCAACCATGGTGTTCTTGTATTGTGGCTTGCTTTATTTATTTGTTCTGATTCTATCCCTTTACAGAAACTCCTCTAAACTCTGGATAATTTTAAGTGAACTGTTAGGACTCTGAACAAAATAACCTATCAAGTTTCCAGATCATCCTTCTCCTCTGATGTGGTATTTCATGGAATTATAAACACCCATTTTTATTTTCCATGATTCCATGGTTTCAGTACTCACATATTATTCTTAGTGTTCATCTCAGGATGATACCACTCCCAATACAATCTGCACATATTTATGAGCTCCCTTTTTGGTTTATTTTTTGGCCTAATCACATTCAGTTGCAGTCAGAAATTCATACCCACCTCGGAAAGTCTTAGGATACATTTCCTAAACTCCCCTGCAGTACCCCTAACACTGAGCTATATTCCATTGTTTGAGGACTGGGATAAACATGATGGGAGCTGGAAAGAAACTCAGAATATAGAAACCAGACAGAAAATGTAGGAACTGAGAGCAAGGATGGTCCTTATGACTCAGGTATTGGACTGGCTCTGGATCATTTGTGAGACCCCTGGCTGCCTGTGTAACCGTTGGCAAGTCACATAATTTCTCAGGTTCTCATCCAAACTTTCTACATGAGGAGTTACAGGTCCCACTGACTTTGTACATCGCATCTATTTAGTGAGCAATTCCAAACAAAAACTAGTAAAAAATGGGAGAGATTTTTTTCCTTACATCTCCTATTTCAAGTGTGCACATTGTTTAGAAACTCTGAGCTAGCTGAGGTTCTCCCGTGGGATGCAACGCTTATTAACAGCATGACAAAAATACACTTCAGATAGTCTGCACAGAAATGCCAGCAATTCTGAAATTGCATTCAGGCAACGGCGAGGCCATTTAGATACAAAAAAAAGCTTTACAACTGTTCCAAATACTTACTAGGGAAGACTGTTAACAGACGGGAAAAAATGGGGAAGTGTCCAAAACCAGCAATCCACCCTGGTGAGAGATCCAGCTGCTGGGAAGTGGAATGGTGCTGGAATTCATACCAGGTTGTTGTCTCTGGACACCAGTCAATGGACTCCATCTTTTATATCACCCTCCCATTAGCCATAAGGATTTGGTGTTTTTCAATTTCTTCTCTCTTGGCAGCTGGATATGGAGAAGGAGCTTTTTCTTTCAAGTCCTTGCTGAAGAACTGCTTCAAAGCTGTTGTCCAGGAGGGGAACACCACTATACCCCACTCCTTCCTCCTGAAAGTTGCTGTTACGGCAGAGAAAAACTGACTGGTCTACCCTTCTTCCAGCTGCTTAGCTCCTGCTGAATGGTTTCTTACTGTTGGGCCCTGAGCTGCTTATCTCCATAGTCTTCCTTCTGCTGAGTAACTTCAGGATTTACCTCTAGAATCAGTGACCACTTTCTTCTGCACAAAATTGGGAAAATGTTTGAAAATCTCAAGAAAGACACCCCATTCCCCCCTTCCACCCTGCAAATTTGAGATGACGATAAAAAAAGAGAACTAAAGAAAGAAATAATTGGGAGTTCTTTTCCTTGATGTTGGTTGTGCTTTTATGATTGTGTGTTTTGAGATTTTCCACATAGCCTCGAGGAATGGGGGAGCTATTTTTTTGGATGTTAAGATTTCAGGTAACAACTACAAGATTCCAGCTGCTCAGGCCTCAGGCTTCATGATATACTCACCGATTTATGTGTGCTAATGTTAAGAGATTTGGCAGAACTTCAAGCAAGCGAGTGAAAACAACGTGTTTATTCTAAGCTTTGCTCTTGCCCTTTGACTTGATAGCGGCTGTGCAACTGGCCTGCCTGCTCAGCCTTGCTCTGCCGGAGCATGGGAAAAGTAGGAGCAGCAGCAAAGAGACAGCTGGCTGGCTGCTGCCTTAGAAAGACATCACTGCATCACGTCACGCTTGGTAAGTTAACTCTGCAATCAGAAGGGCTGGGATTTTCCCTTTTTATTTAAGGGGGGAGGTAGGTGCTCCACAAATTGACTGCGGGGATTTGGCTGTGCTGAGTAAAGAATTCCGTTTGTCAGTGGCAAGGTGGTTTTCAGCCCTGAAGTGTAATGCTTTATGCTTTTCTGACCCTTAAAAATAAAGAGCTTTGCTGGACGCCTTTTGAATCCCCTTCAAATGAACTGTTTGTAACCTTATTAGGATTTTCTTCTTCATTTCTAATATGTGGATTGTTTGAATGGAAGTATTAAAGCCAGCACAAGCAATAAAGATGTATTGCCAGTAAAATAAAGCTTGGCCTCTCACCACACAGAGGAAGCAGATCAAGTCAAGAAAACATTTCCTAAAAGTCACTTTCCTAACTGTAGGACTATTCCAATAGCTGCTTCTTAAAACTTACACTATTTTGCAATTTACTAATCCACACATTTAACTGAGTGTGGAAGTGCTAGTTAATTGACATTCTGGTTCCAAAGAAATACTGATATTCTGACGGGCTCTAAACCAATGCATGAATTTACAGAGTGGGAAGCAATCGAGATATATTTCTGAGAATCCAAGAAAAGTTTGTAAATGATATATAATGAACGAACATGAAACAGTATTTACGTGCATATGGGCTGCTAGTAAAATCCTGGCTTTGGGTGAATCTCACAGGAAAATTATGATTGATTTCTGTCATGCCAGACTTTCGCCTTGTCTCTTTAAAACTCTTATGGTGAAACTCATAGGGAGGTATGTCTTGCCCAGTTCACATTTACTGTTGTAAAAGTATACATATGTAGAAGACTCACTGGTAGAGAATCACATATGGGACTCTAGCCTTGAAGTCACTAAGCCGGTGAGTGTATTTTACACCTATTTATGTTGAGCGGGCTCAGCAGCTTGCACGAGGAATGTAATGTCCTGAAGGGCTGACTTTGTAATTTGCGGCTGTGTATATATTTCCTTCATGAAACCACATTTATGTTTCTTTATTATCATTATTATTTTAAAGGGTTTTTTAACTACTCACAGCTTCCATTTCTTTTTCTATAAGCCCTGCTACCCCATCTTCAGCATTCTGACTTTTTAGATTTCAGATCTTGGGTATGATGTTGAGGATCAGGTTACCAGCTGGGGACATCTGGATGGGTTTAAGATCTGTGCATATCATAATGAAATCTCTTAGCTATATATTTTGAGTCCATGTTTTCATTCTTCCCCTGTGTTTCCCATTGTTTTGTATCCTCTCTATTTGCATGAGTGTACGCAGTCTCATGCAATTATATAAAAATGGTTTCCTTATGCATGGTATGAATTTTTATAGCTTTACATTCACTTTCTTTCTTTCTTTCCATCATCCCACTTCATGTTTAAATAGGTAGAATAAGTTAGGTAATATGTACACAGGGACTGCTCCACCATGGACTGGAGCTTTAAGTATCTCTGTTAACACATGCTATAGCCAAAGAAGTTTACGGCATGAAGAGGGAAAAGGTTATTGTTAGTGTAACTGAATAAGTATTAGGGTTAATATATAATGTATAGGTCTATGTAATGGATAGTTTTTATTCATCATAAAATGTTCAAATGACTTGCAGATGTATGACTGCTGCAGCTGTTGCAGACCTTGTAATGGCATTAGGCTCTGACTCAGAAAGCAGCTAGTTTGCCAAGAGATTCTGGCAATGGCTATGGCTGTGATATCCCCATTGAAAAAAGTATTGTCAGCAGTGGCGGTGGTGATACAAAACTGAAGTATGAGAAAGGGGCAAGGCTGGGTCTAGGTACAACAGGAAGGAAAATGGGGGTTCTGAAAGTGTTCATTTTTTTTTCATGTTTAACTATATCAGTAGTATTCTACCACTGCGTGGTCTACTAGGGAATCAGCTGCGATTTATGGTCACCACAGATTCTGGCTGCATGCAGCTTATGTTATACTAATTGGGGAAAAAAACCCACAAAACACCAAAGCTTTGATAATGTAAAAGCTTGCTCCTGAGTTTTAAACAGGAAAAGAAAGCTCTAGTCTACAAGCAGATAGAATTGAATCTCACTGTGCAAACGCAGTCTGTTGTACAAACTGTGCAGCATGGGGGCTTGGCTGCTTGCTGCCCGTGGAGACTGTGCAGTCATGGAATATGCTTACTTAGCAGTCAAAGGAGTGCCATCATCCTACAGATGCACACAGAACTCTGAAACAGTACTGAGGAAGAAAACTTAAAAGTCCCCTGCATGTTTTGTAATTGTTTTCCCAGTTCTAATTGAAGTGAAGGGAATAATGAAGATTGACATCCTAAATGGGCACGCATTTTATACCTGGGATGTCATACTGAGGTGAACATGCTGGGTTTGATGAGGCATTTTGATTCTTGTGTGACTGCAAAGGCAGAAGCATGATCGTTTTTAGAGGAGAACTGGGGAAAGCAGTGCAAAACAAAAGCACAATTTTGACAGGGTTCAGCACTAACACTCAGAAAGTGGGTGTGCGGGAAGCAGAGCCTTGCGGCAGCTGAACTCTAAATCTCTGAAATGGTGAGGGAGCATAACAAGAGCCGCCTCTCAATGAAAAGTGGATTTTGTCGCTGCCTTTTCTGATGCTTTAAACTACTTACAGACCACAATGCTGACTCGTGTTTTCTATGAACAGTTACAAAGCCATAAGCAGTATTATTACTGGCTCTTTTCAAAAGGCCCCTGCCGATTCCAGTGTGTTCTTTATGACCCTGGTCAATGCCATATTTTTGAAAGTAAAGCTATCAAAATATACAGATTATTAGAAAAGAGATGCAATCTACAGGAACTTTACTTACTAGATTTAAAACCCCGAAATTCCAACTCTTACTGATGTGACTTATGCCTTACATGAGTAAAAGCGAATGAGCTGCTAATAGTTCCCTTCTCTGGGGCTCAAAATTCCTTGGATAAGGGAAAAGAAGCCAGCCAGCATGACTGTTGTAAGCTGTTAACTGGGGCTTAGGTCTCCCCTCTCCCTGGTGTGTGTGCTGCTCACTAGACCAGGGTTACTTGTTTAGTCTGGACAAGTCTTGGTCAGCAGACCAAGGTCTGCTGGTGAGCTCTACCAAGGTCCCATCAGTGGGAAGCAGTGTGTGACAGCAGTGGGCTGTTGAGCTCACCAAGCAATGCACCCTGCTCAGGGACTGTGCTTCAGCTGCTTCCTAAGAGCACAATGTAAAATACAGGGCTTTCTGATGGATGCAGGTTGTGACTCAGCTTGGACATGGGGCATGAGAGCAATCAGGGCATGGTGAAAGGCAAATTTTATTTCTGGTCTGGTTCTTGATCAGATGTGTTTAAATAATCCTACAGAACATTGTTCCATCATCATCTGTGCTGGCCAATAAATACTGTATGCAATGAAGAAGAATCTCTGTAATGGGTGGGTGGAGCTCCTGTCCCAGGAGGCCCTACAGCAATGGTATGGGACTATGGTCTGCAGATCTGTGGGATTTCATGTGCCATTTCTATGGGAGGAGGCCTAAGTCTACCCCTGGGAATCTGCACCTGCTCTGGGAAATTAACATGACGTTGCAAACTTAGAAGAGCTAAAAAGTCACTGCCCTGCATCTTCCAGGTTAGATGGTTGATGTGGGAGGTGGACCTGTATCCTCAGGCATTGCAAAGCTTGAGAAGCATGCCTCTCAGGATGTGCCAGCATGGCACAGTACATCTCTGTGCTGCAGATCCCCAGCCCAGGTCTTTCTCAGAGGAAAGAAGCAGATCTTGGCAGGGATATAATCTTGGATCCCAGAAGCAGTACTGCCTTGGTAGCACAGTGTTCATTCTCAAGCTAATGTGCCTTGTCTCTTAGCCCACCAGCTAACCTGAACACAGCATGAGGTTGGTATTTCTTACTCTCCTGCTTCCAGATCCAAAGCTATTTCGTACAGAGCCAGAATAGGGATCTCTGTACCTTATTGCTCTGCAAAGTGTCAACACATCCTTTCTTTCCTATGTTTTCTCATCAATAAATTTTAGAAAAAATGTCCAGAAAGTCTCCTGTATCTCCTCTTGCTTGCGAGGAAAGGCTGACTTAGGTAGTCTATCTCCAGGAAAGACTCACTGGTAGGCAAAAGGATATTAAAGAATTGCAATCTGTAAATGGATTAAAAAAATGGAATAGAGGAATGATGGAGAAGTCTGACAGTGGCCATTAAGTATGGGGATCTGCTTCAGAAAGGTGCTAAATCATCCATCCCAGAAGCTCCTAAGATACATCAGAGAAAGGCTGGCCCAGTTGTTTTCATGTTTCTTACAGTCTTTCACTAAGCACCTACTTCTGGCCACTGTTGGACTCAAGGTAGTTTGACCCACATGTACACATGGAAGAAAGGATTGCCCTGCATTTAAGAAGTGGGTGCCAGTTAGGTCCATCCAGGCTATGTGTGCATTCAACATGTGTGCACAAGTTAGTCTTGTACTCAGCTGTCAACAGCCATTCATGTTGAGGGAGAGCCTGAAAGCATTAATGGGAATGCTGCCCCAAACATCAACCATCAGATATCCAGAGCCTGGTCCAGATGCCTAACAACTCCAAAGAGGAATGGCTTCAGCTAGATGTGGTAATAGGAATGTGTGTTATATCTGAATGACAGTGTGGATGTGGGCCTGGAGGATATGGTGTAAGTACTGCAGTGTGGACCATCAGAAACAGGCTTGTCTACTTTCAGCCCAGAGGTGGGTGTGCATGGGTGTTTCCACAAATCCTAGCTTGGCAAAGGCGAGAAGAGGAATGCTTGTGGAATGCTTCTGCCCTTGGCATTTCCCATTTGCTTTTTGCTCAGTGCAGACGTCTGTGTGGAGCTCAGCTTTTCTTTTGCTTTGTGCTAGCAGCTCAGGTGCCTGGCTAGACAGATTCACTAGGCAGCAAAGAACCTAATCCTCGCTGAAGGCCACCTAATCCTCTCAGCTTAATGGCCTTTTACTCCTTCAGATTGTCCATTCTTTATTTGATCAGCAACTGAATTCTTTCCTCTTCCATTTGAAACAGAGTGTTGTGAGCAGGCTGCCTGGCCAGCCATTCTCATTTGTTGTTACCAATGCCCCTCGGTTCTTCTAGGCTCCAAAATGCAGAAACCCATAAAAGCCGTTGGAAGTAAATGAGTAATGGAGGGGAAAGGCATGTCTCTATGGGCTGAAGAAAGTGCTCCGTAGACCAGTGTTTGAGAACCTCTCATTAATGCTTCCTGGTTATTTTTTCTGCATTTCACTTTGCCGAATCCAAATCCCTCTGAAGCCAGTGGGAATTGTTCCACTGACTTCTGTGAGAGTTGGATCTAGCCCCTGGTCTGAAAGGTAAAGCTAGTCCCACAGGTTTTCTTGTATTTCAGTTGGTTTCGCTTTCTGCTTCTCAACTCCCTGAGTAACCTGAATGCATTAATAATACTCCATGGTGAGATTCATGCAAAATATTCTCTTTTTTAGGCTTTTTGTAAAATAAAAATCAAGATGTGCATTAGCAATTCTACCTCTGTCCTCCTGACTGTGCTTTTATGACCCTCTGCACTGTTTTTTGCCCTCCCCCCTTGAGGTAAACGACAATATATTTTTAAGTGTAACACATTTCTGAGGAAATTTTGCAATCACACAACAAGATACTCTCAACTTTCGGCATCGTTAAGAGGAGACAGTTTGCCCTCAGAAGGTAATCTGTTTATACCATCTCAAGTGGAACAAGTATCAAGTGGGCATGCTGGGTTGTGAAAGATGTTTGTTCCATCACCATGGGACTCCTCACACAGTTCCCAGGGCAAGGCATTGCATGTAGGGAGGTGACAGTGGATTTCTACATCACGGCTCAATTTTCGGCTTTTAAGTAGAAGCTGTACTTTTATGATAAGCTCTTTTTCCTAAAATAGCAATTTGTTCAAATTAACATCTCTGATAGCAGAAAGGGAGCAATGTAGAATAAGGTACTGCAGGACATACAAGGGAACATTATCGTACAGAGCTTTGGGGTTTTATCCTCCAGATCGCCCAAAATTCTTTCCAAGTAACGTGTTAAGATACTGGTAATGCAATGACTCAAGCATATAAACAGATGGAGTGAGTAGTATGCAGCCAGTGATTCAGCTAATGTACAGCTCTGGAAATTCAAATTTGATTTAACATGAGGAGAAATGTTGAATAAGACATTTATAATTTTTCCATT